GGTTTGTGCGCTCGGTGAGACCGTTAGTTTGCGGATGATACGCAGTTGAGTGTCGGAACTTGGAGGCACACAAACGAAGTAATGATTCGACAATATCAGCGGTAAATTGTCGACCACGGTCACTTATTATCACGCGAGGAGGTCCGTGTCGGAGGATGACTGAGTTCAACAGGAACTCCGAAACCTGGACTGCCGTGGCGGAGCATAAGGCAGCCGTCTCGCAGTACCGCGTCAGGTAGTCGGCGCATACAATTATCCACCGGTTACCTTTTGAGGAGCGTGGAAATGGTCCCATCAGATCAATGCCGACCTTTTCAAAAGGGGAACCGGGAGGCTTTACAGGTTGCAGGTGACCAACTGGACCCGAGGAGGGCCGCTTGTGGCTCTGGCACTGCATACAGCTGGACACGTAGTTCTGAATTGTTTTGCTCATTTTCGGCCAATAGAACCGCTCTTTCGTGCGACTAAGTGTTCGTGCGGTGCCTAGATGGCCAGAGGTGGGGTCATCATGCGTGAGACGCAGAACAGACGTTTGGAGGGACGCAGGAACAACCAGCAGAAAGCGGGCGCCCGTCGTGGACAAGTTTCTCTGGTAAAGAAGACCATTTCGGACGCAGAATCGGCCTTCGCTTAATGAATTTCTCGCTCCAGGGAAGAGAGCTTTCAAGCTTGGGTCATTACGCTGCTCAGCGGCGAAAGTCACGGCATCGGGAAAGCCAGACGACAGCGAAGCGATAAGGTGGTCAAAGTTATCGCCTTCACAATCTGTCTATGGTAGCGGCATTCTGGAGAGGCAATCCGCATCAGTGTGTAGACGGCCAGTCTTGTATGAGATGGTGAAGACATGTTCTTGCAAACGAATGGCCCATCGTGCGAGGCGGCCGGATGGGTCACGAAGGTTGATCAGCCAACACAGGGAATGGTGATCTGTGACGATAGTGAACGGGCGACCATAGATGTATGAGCGAAACCGTTGCACGGCAAAGACTACCGCTAGGCATTCCTGTTCGGTCACTGTGTAGTTGCATTCAGGGTTGCTTAAAGAACGACTTGCGTACGCCACAACGTGTTCCTTCTTGCCAGAACGCTGAACGAGAACGGCACCGATACCGATACCACTTGCATCTGTGTGAATTTCCGTGGGCGACGAAGGATTGAAGTGCCGAAGTATTGGCTGCGAAGTTAACAAACATTTCAGCTTGTGAAAAGCGGCATCACACTCGGAGGTCCACTGAAACAGGCTGTTCTTGCGTAGAAGGCTCGTCAGGGGGTGAACCACATTCGCAAACTTGGGTACGAACCGGCGGAAATACGAGCAGAGCCCGATGAAGCTACGCAGTTGTTTCACAGATTTAGGACACTCGAACGATTCAACGGCCGCGGTCTTTTGTGGGTCAGGTCTAATGCCATCTTTATCGACGAGATGTCCTAACACCAATGTCTGTCGCTCGCCAAAGTGGCACTTTTTTGAATTCAATACAAGGCCAGCTTTTTCAATGCAGCTGAGCACGAGGTCTAGGCGAGTGTTGTGCTCCTCAAACGTACGGCCAAAAATTACGACATCATCAAGGTAACACATACATATATGCCATTTTAAACCACGCAATATAGAGTCCATAAATCTTTCGAATGTCGCAGGAGCATTACATAAACCGAATGGCATAACGTTGAACTCGTAAAATCCGTCGGTCGTAACAAATGCCGTCTTTTCTTTGTCAGCTGCGTGCATCGGAATTTGCCAGTAACCTGATCTCAGGTCAACAGATGAAAAGTAGGACGCGGAATGCAGGCAGTCTAGAGCGTCATCGATGCGCGGCAGTGGATAGACGTCTTTCTTGGTAACAGAATTCAGTCGGCGGTAGTCAACGCAAAATCTCCACGTACCATCCTTCTTTCTCACTAGAATGACGGGAGCAGCCCACGGACTCGCCGATTCCTGTATTATTCCCTTTTCCAGCATCTCTTGAACTTGCTCGTTGATGATCTTGCGCTCCGATGGTGCCACTCGGTAAGGTTTATGCCTAATGGGATGCGCCGATTCGGTGTGGATCTGATGACGTATCCGGGACGCTGGGATTAAGGGCCTTTGGCTGTATTTAGAAAAATCGAACACTTTCAAGTGCTTAGACAGAACGTCGAGCAGGGTATGACGTTTGCTTTGGTCTAGTGACTTGCTGACCATTTGTAGCAATTGGGCATCTTCTGAACCTTCTAAGCCTAGATGTTCATTTTGGCTTGTAGCATCAACAAGCGCAACCAGCGTCGTACATGACTCGCGTCTAAATACTGCAAGTTTCATGCCGCCTGGCAGAATTGCAGGCTCCATGGAACTGTTCATTGTCCACACACCTGCCCGTCCATCAACGACTGACACTATACAATGGGGAATGAGAATTTTCTTTTTCAGGCATGCCGAGGGAATCGGTTCAAGCGTGGCGTCAAACGTGCCACAGTTGTTACTGGAACATGTCACAGGAACACGCACAGCAGAAAATGCAGGAACGACTGTATCCACGGAGACGAAAAAGATGCATTCCTCCGGACAAGAATTTTCCAAGAGCGCCGTTGGGAAAGTACCGTGTATAGAAAGATGCCCACTTTTGCAGTCTACAGTTGCCCCACACTCACACAAGAAGTCAATACCCAAGATAACGTCATGTGTAGACCGCGGAATAACCGCGAACTCTGTGCAAAACACCTTGCCACACAGCGACACGTCCACAGTACAATATCCCACCGGACACAACACGTCACCACTTACAACACGAAATGTCACCCCACGGTTCAGGCAAAACATCACTTTTGGTCCTAGCAGGTTCTTAAAATTTACACTCATCACCGAAACTGTCGCGCCTGTATCCACAAGTGCCATAGTAGCCACTCCATCGACAACTACACGAACTTTGTTCTTCAACATAAACGCTGACGGGGGTATATCTGTAGATAGCACCTGTGATCTTGCGGCTTCACCCCCACTGGCCGCACCGACTAGTTTTCCGGCGGCGGTGTACGTGCGCGTCGCCGTGGCGACGGTGATCGTGGAGCACGGGGAGCTGGAGGTGGCGTCAAACTTCGATCAGAGGCCGGCGAGGGGTAGCGTGACCCGGTAGGTGCGCGTGGTTTCCGTGACGTGGAGTGCGGATAGTCGAAATGTTGGTGATACAAAGGCCAAGACTGTCGCTGATATAGGCGGTGGTCACAAAAACGTGCGATATGACCCGGGACACCACAGTTGTAGCATACCGGACTTGGTCGAGGGGCACGTTGTTGCTCAGAGTAACGACTCCTCTCGGAAGGCATGGGATAGTGGTACCGTCCTTCGGGGGCCCTGTAGGGCGGCGATGTTGGGTAAACAGGTGGGCGAAAACTTCGTTCGTAGTTGGGAGGTGGTTGACGGGGGAATCCAGCCTGCCGTGTGCCTTGATATTCATAAGCGTCTGTTGCGTTTATCGATGGTTGCCATGGTGGAAGAGAAGCAAGAGTTCGCACACATTCTGGTTCGCTTACGTACCCATCCTGTAAATCGCTGGGGCGATGATAGCTCTGCTTACATCGAAGCAGCTCTTCTCTAACGATCTGCCGTATGGTCAAAGCAAGGTCGTTAGGCGGCACTGTTTCAACACTAGCCACAGTGGGGACGTTGGACAGGCGACCGAATTTCGGAGAAATTCGTCGCATCTTGAGGGATTCAAAGGTACGACAGTGCTTCATCACGTCGGACACGGAGTTCAAGCAGTCTTTCCCAATTAAGAAATTGTACACGTCTTCGGCTATACCCTTGAGAACGTGTCCAACCTTGTCTTCTTCAGCCATCTTCCCATTCACGATCTTGCACAGCTTCAATATTTCTTCAATGTATGTCGTACATGTTTCTGCTGGAAGCTGCGCCCTCTGAGACAATGTCTGCTCCGCGCGTTTCTTCTTTGCGTCCGAATCGCCGAAGCACTTCTGCACTTCTTCAACAAAACGTTCCCAAGTCGTTAACATGTCCTCGTGGTTCTCGTACCACATAAGGGCGGTGTCAGTTAACGAGAACGTCAAGCTTTTCCTCCTCCTCATACAAATCCCAATAAAGCACAAGCAATCACTTACAGACAGTTGCAGACCCGTACATACATCACACCAACGGCACAAAGAGAATGAATCCTGGCTTCTCCTCTGTATGTCCACACTGTGACCAGCAATATATAAAAACTTCAATATCATGCTCTGGCTGTGTCCTGCCAAAGTAAGTACAGACTTTTCTTACCAGATCCTCCGGAGACTCTGTCCTTCGAAGCACAGAGCACATCGCTCAGCTTAAAGCTGACCAGAAGGTTCGGGCCGTCGCCGAAGGACTCTGTCTACCGGTCTCGACCTGGGTTGAACCACCACATTGTTTGGCGGGGCTTTCGGCACTGCTGTCTTTCTTCTCAGGACCTCAATAAAGTTCATACTCACTCACTTCCAAGCCACCGATTATGCCTGGCCACACCGCCAAACTTACGTTCGAATACATGGGAGCTTTGCTCGGCTTGGCTGCAAAATGAAAGTGGAGGAAAACAACGTTTTGCTGGTAGGCACCTAACCTACAATATTAAAAGAACGCGGACTAAGTTTGTAGGTTCGAACTCTACCATGCGGCTCGTTAATTTTTCGTTCACTTTAAATCATTTTTATATTTGTCGAAATAGCTAATTTGAATTGAAAACTCCCGCATATCTCTCCTCTGCCTTTCTAGATTTTGTCAGGTTGCGCCCATCAACAAAAGGAGGACTGACTCATTTCCTGTTCCTACATATATTTTCACATTTGGGCTGTTATGTTTTTCTTGTTTATTGTTCATGACATTACCGCATTCCGAGCTTCATTTCCATGAAAAGTGATGTTTTCATATTACGTATCTATCAAAATATGGTGATGGTTGCTCTGGGTTCAATTCTCATTACTTTTTTACGCACCGGCTTTTAATGACATCTACATGCATGGAAGCTCTGAATAATCATTGTTATTTCATGCAGAGAAAGGCTTAACCATGCCATTGCGACTATGTCGGAGACGGGAGAACTGGACGAAATCAAAAGGAAATGGTGGTCAACCAGGTGCGACAAGGATCCGAAGGTGCGCTATTTTACCCTCTCTGATGACTAATTTTAACACGAAGTACAAATTGAATGTTATTTTTGCGTTATACGAGTTGTTAAAGATGCAACCAATCTAAGATATAAAAAAAAAAGGTTTACTGCAATGGTGCAGCAATGAATGCGATAGCAACAATCTAGACTGCCATACGAAAGAAGGTTAGCATTGTGGAATAGCACCAAAGTACGCAAAGAAACATGCTGTATTACACAATGCGTGCATACAAACTAGCTTGGTTTTCATAACTACTGCAGAGCTATAGCAGCTAACTCATTTGGATATTCCCGCAAATTGTGCGCATCTTGGCACTTTCTCATTCATGAATGCATATTCAACCACGTAAGTACTCCTGATGGCACCACACAAACAGTGATGTGTGTGTGTGTGTGTGTGTGTGTGTGTGTGTGTGTGTGTGTTTTATGTAGTCCGGGCTTCGGGTATTTCCTTTAAACCTGGTTCGTCACAGTATTATCGGCTGAAAAACAAATACCAAGAAGGATACATCACTGTCAAATGTTTTGACCCACAGCGCTTCGGAAAAGTAGTCGCGTCAGGATAAAGGCGTATAGTCTCTCCGAAGCATTCCAGACTTTCCTCTACCGCTATACGAAAGGAAGAATAAAACGTTCCTATCATTGTCTGCATTTCTCGGCAAATCAGCGACTCTTCATTGGCGCAGGACAACCTTTCGTGCGCGTGGTAGCGCGACTTGAAAAATAATAAGGCTAGAGTACTTATACAGACCTGGAGAACGGCTTTGGTCACATGGGAGGCAACCTATTCTTCAGCACTTGTTTTTGGAGGGACGACATGGGCAGTACGTCGGCTCCACAGCGCAAAGTCCCCGAACTCTTGAAGACTCAAATCTTTGTCATGGCAAGCACGAACAAGATGCAGAAAAAGTTAAACACCATGGAACACTGGACGGCTTAGCGTATGAACTGAGCGGTCAAGTCGTCAGTTGAACTGCCATGATTGCTGGTATATTACAGGCTAATGCGGTGAAGAAGTCTTTCAGTCGCCACGAAGTTACTACTGGCAGTCGCCATCAGTTACGAGGATGCAAGACGGGGCGATGCATGCGAGAGTAATCACTGTCTCGTTTCGTCTTTGCTTCAGCCGCCTTCATAGCTGCAGCTCTCGCATGCTTCTATTACTCCCGTCTTGCCGAGAACGTGCGATGGGCGGTGTTATCGATATTCACCTTATATAGAGCATCACGGTGTTGGCAGAAACCAACCGAGAGCGTTCATATGAATTGATAAAGCAGCAGAATACCTGATTGAGATTTTAGGAGTCAAGGGGGGAGCCGACATAGAGATACCTTTTCGTGCAATCTTATTGCGAATTTGATCTTATTAGTTCATTCCAACAAAACAAAAGAAACCGTAAGGATGGTGTCTTGTTATTCTCACCATTCAGATATGGTGTAAGTAGGTAACTATTTAAGTTAAGGTGTCTGGTGATTTCAGCTATCATTAAAAAGGGCACAGGACAGAACAAATTATTCTCTTTCACAGGAAGAAGTCTTAGAGATATCGCCTATTTTTAAGATGGCCAGTCATGCATGGGCGCGATTTGGGCAAGCCAAGTTGATTGGCAGCATTAAATCACTTTCAGTGCAGAAATGGCGTTAGTTCTACAAAGCGTTGAGGTGCGTTTTGTTTTCACGTGTTGCAGGACGAGCCGATAAAGCTGCAGCTGTTCCTCCCGGTCGCTCTTGCTATTGCCGGGGTCATACTGGAAGGTGCTGGTCTTGGTTTGGTTGAGCTGCTGGTTCGAGGCTGCAATAAGCTTTGCATCTGGGTACGTGCTCTGCTCTCGCAACGAGCTGGCTTACCTACATACCGGATTTTTACGCAACGTCTTCAGACAGACAGAAAGAACGTGTCTATAGCAGCGTTCACGTTTAGCCCTTTAAAATTAAACGACACACCAGCGAATCCCCTCTTATACAGCCGCATGAACGTCTGCGTAGAGCGCGTGAACAGCCGGCCTTACTCCTGTGTGGCAGTTGCGGGCTCTCACGGGATGCGTTCAGGACCATGCACCGCCTAATAGACATGCTGACCTGCTTTGCACGAGTGACAGCGTTGAAAAGTGCGCTTTATTAAGACAGTTTCCTCATCTCGACTCCAAAATACGACGCATGTTTCGAACACAGGCCTGGCTGCACCTTTCATAGTTGTCACTCGTGCGAAGCCCGTCAAATGAGGCCATGCATGCACACATCCCTTACGAACCCGCAACTGCTGCAAGGGATCGGCCCATGGCCAGCTGCTATACGCACACATGGACGTGGCTGCCACTTAAACTTGATGAGCTATTTAGCACATATGAAGGACCCGCAGATATTGTGTGGCACTGTGTAATTTTATGAAACGTGAATATATTTTTACAGATCTATAGGCATGTTATGATCACGTGCATTCCTGCGCGCTTAATAACTTCGGCCACACATTTGCGCGGAAATGTGAACGAGAAGCACAAGCACGTGGGTAAACATACACTTTACTTGAAGAGGCACCTGACAAGACTGAACTGTTTTCTCAAGGACTCAAAAGTAACTGAAGACAGCTAAGACCAACACTTCATGGTCGTAAAAAATGGAAGGTGAAATCAGTTAGATCGTGTTTCTCACATAATGTTCAACCTGATGTGGCGCGATGGGTACTATGATGACAGTGGACATTTCTTCATTTGCAGGCTCGGCTCAAGTCAGAGCGGTCAGCACGAGAGACGGACCCGCCGTTAAAGACTATCGCCTGAACAGGTTCCCATCCACAGAAAGCTTGCAACTCGTTTTATCACCGTTGCTCAAATTGTGATTTTCATTTTATGAGTCACCTGTGTTCGTAAACACCTTATTGTTCTGTCTTAAAGACAAGAGAGTGACTGAACAAACTCACTTTTCTAGTGCTAGTACACTTTTTAATGACTACTTTACCTACATTTATTCATTCATTTGGCCCGTGACATCAGCGTAATTTTTCAGCAATGTTGCACGAGCACTCACAGAGTGTGGCTTATTTGCATACAGGCCGACAGGTTTGCCTGAGCGACAGTGTGCTCTGCCTTGCTCCTCTACACTGGGCCAAGGGGACGGAGAAGAAAAGATTGCCCGCAGCTTCCCTCGGGGGAACACTGAGGAGGATGCGGACCATATAATTGGTTAACGGGGTGTTAAAGTGCGACTTACTTGGGTCGATGGCTAAATTGGTTAACGTGGTTGTGAAATGGGGTGTTAAATTGCGACTTACTTGGGTCGATGGCTAAATTGGTTAACGTGGTTGTAGGAGGGGGTGTTAAATGAGTGAACACGTACACACGTATGCGAAAGGGCGGCGCTGGTCGAAGGGACGTCGATCATTGTGTTTGTGGATTCGTTGGAATTCATTTCACCGCGACCTTGGACGTCGACGCGCCGTACAAACCAACCGACGAGCGGCAACTGAGCGAGCGAGCGCCGACCTTGAGTATATATACAGCACGACGGCGCATGCACTGTCAGCTGTTGAATGTTCTCGAAGCGCGACGCCACATGCGCGTCCACTGGAGAATCAGGAGAATTGTAGATGTCGAACGCGGTGTGTAGAGGAGGAAGGGTGCACAGATGGTGGAGGAGTGAAGCGCGCGCGGTGTGTAGAGGAGGAAGGGATGCACAGATGGTGGAAGAGTGGGCGACGGCGCGACGGCGCATGCGCGCGCGTCAGCTGTCGAATGTTCGAAAAGCGGTGCGGACGGCGCGGACGGCGCACTACAAGGTGCGAGTATAAGATGCTCCGCATCTAAAAGGAGCAACAGCAATAGGTTGTTTCCACGGCGCACGGTAAACAGTGGCCCAATTTACGTGGTCCTCTTCGACTAAGAAAACATATTACTTCTGGGGTCATGGAAATAATGAATTCTAGACTTACAACTTATTGCTAGGGGTGCGCGAATCAAATAGAATACTTCCCGTCTACTTCTAAGCACAAATATAACAGATAAGCTTTGAAAAAAAAAAAAAAAACTGTCACCAACCAAACCTGAAAACGTCCGTTCGTTGTACAGTCAATAGCGCAGTGAAAATGTATGCACGTTAAAGCGCTACTGATTTGCTGTGCTGCATATACAGCTATTCAGTGCTTTCATGAAGAATGGAGAGGTGCTTGTCAGTTTTCGGAAGCAACGACACCGTCGTGCATGTCGCGTTCCTCTAGCCAACAAAATCATCCGTTAAAGGGGCCCTTCAACACTATTCAAGCCTCTATGTTTTATTCGTGGATTGTGTAGACTAAAGTTCAGACAAATGCAACAAAAACATCAATGATAAGGGCACGCAGTCATAACTTATTTGACTTAGAAATTTTAAAATACAAGAAAAAAAATGCCGACCCTCAATTCGATTTTTGCAGGGTCATTTCACCACATTTCACTCACTTATGACGTCAAGAGGCTGCCCAAATAAAATAAGCTGGAAGCGCCTACACAGGGGAAGCTCGCACCCCATTGTTGCTTTTGTTTTTTCAAAATAATGCTGATCTTGTGTCTGACGCCCGGCTTGCCAGAACGTCAGCGGGAGGTACTGTGTCGATGCGAGGTGGTTTCTGCGTGTGTTTTTTTTTTTCAATATTTCGGGTCACTCCCTCCTCTTATCCTGAGAAAGGAACTTATGGAACGACCAGGACAGCGAAGTACTGTTAACCCTTCGCGTCTTGTTCGGTCAGCTGCCCGACGAACAACAATGCTGCACAGCGCCCCTTTAACAGCACACGCGTGCGTAAAGGGGCAGCTCGCAAACTCCCAAAAGCAAGAAGAGAGAGAACGAGAGAGAGAGAAAGAGAGAGAGAGAAAGAGAGAGAGAAAGAGAGAGAGAGAGATCTTTCCTATGGACATCCGACCCACACAAGCCAAAACTCAGTGGCGGAATGGCAGCCAGCGTCATGGTCGTGCTTTGAAGTCACAGTGATCTTTATTTTTTTTTCTCTTTAGTGTGGCCGCGTCTGTTCAAGGTTCGATGAAAAAGCAGAGAAAAGAAAAATGACACAGCTAAGTAACCTCAGTTTTTATCCTACACTAAGATCGCTTCTAACGTTACATTTATCCAATCATATAGCGGCAACCTTCCGGCTTTATTTCCACCCGCAAAGTTCTGGCGAGCGCCACTTCGTGGTGATGTGGTCGGCAGCGATGTGGCGACTTTATTGCGTAATTAAAATACTAAATCACTTGATACCGGCATTTAGACCAATAATAAAATTATCTCCAGCTATCGGTCTATGCAAACCACAAATAAAAAAATGGGTGATTCAATATTGTTGGAGCGCCCCTTCAACTACACAGTAATGCGGATGTGTTAATCTGGTCAACACGTTTTAATCGTCTAAGGACGTTTTCTCAATTGGCAAACGCGACGATACAACTGGTCGACACAATGCTCAGTGCAAATTCTTCATCTTAGCATACCCTTGAATAATCGTGGGTTTTCTCCTTTTTCGACACTTCAAAATTTCGAAACGGCTCCCAAATTGTTTCGGTGGTTTTGTTCAGTATAACTTTGGCACCCCAAACAACGTGCTTAGCCTCGTATACAATTTCTTAATCTGATTTCTACAGTTCAATACTGGCGCAACATCTGCAAAAAAGAACTAGGGAGGGGGAGGAGGGCAACAGAGCAAATGATATTACTTAACTGGCTTCGAACTTTGTGAAATTCAGTGTAGGTGTGGAATGCTTTGTGCGGCATTCCGCAATTATTATGAAGTCTTAGGTGCTAGTATGTATTGAAAGATAAAAGTGCAGTGTGATCTGAAAACCAAACTAATCAAATCAAACTTTCGAAATTTGGACTGACCGCACGCCCCTAATATTTGATGTATTTTATCCAGCCTTTTTTTCGGTTTCGTATAAGTAGCTTGAGGGGAACTCTTGGGCAATACAGATAAGCGAAGACCAATATAAATTCAACCTAAGTCACGATATGCATGAAAACAAAGACGCGCCACCATTCGCACTTTTACCGTGTGGTTTCCTTTTTTTTTCAAGTAGGACTGGAACCTTGAACCAGGCGCAATAGCTCAAAATGACAAATTAAATTATTGTAGCTCAGGTCTCGCAATTCTCACTGCCGTAATATAGTTGAAGCTTTGCCACGTTGAATTTATAAGCAACATGTATATAACAGGCATTCATCTGGATTCGATGTTGCCCGACCTTCTGAAGAGATCCACTTGTTCAATATTTAGCACTAACTGTGAACTGCCCATGCTGCTGAACTAGTTTTAGCAGAAAGGAATGTAAAAGTTGATGAATTTTTGTTTGCTTTGATGTACGGGTACTTATTTAGTAGTCGTAATAGCGTTATTTGTCTGTCCATTTGCTACACGGGTAATATAGACTCAGAGTATCGATCTACTGAGCAAATTTATTATGTTTTAGAAAACTGCCCGCTTCAACTATTGACTTCTTTTTTTTTCATTGCTTCTCCACGAAATATCGTTTCATGGTTAAAATGTTTGCGTGCTAAAGCCTGACAATTATATGAGCCAGCCTTTGGAGAGTAATATGAAAGAAGTTTGTTGTTATATGTAGTTACTGCCGAATAATTCTTGGTTAAATCAGCACAACATGCTCTTCGGCTGTTTTGTATTGTTTATCAGTGTCTGCGTTAAGCGTCAAAGAGATAGCGTTTGCATACTCATCCATACAGTTGTTAAATACGGTCCACGTGGTCTACGTTGAAAGTGTGTTAGTGGGTATATACATTTTTAGAATGTTTTAGACTGTCACCATGTAAAACCAGTTACCTGTTGTCAGTAGTTTTACTTACACATCACTGCCACTGGTTCCCCGTTTCTCATCATCGCAAATGATTTGCCACCAGAGAACGGCTGTTTTTTGTCGTCCTATGATGGCCGGAATTTTACTTTTTAAAGCTGCTGGCGGTAGCATATAAAATGTTTTGCCATCTCGTTTTCCCACTGTTGCCACGTGCCCCTGTTATTGTGAAAGGAATTTCCGCGAGACCGTGTGGCAGCGTTGCACTGAAAGCCGTTCACCCGTGTGTGCTGGATCTAGTGCTGCATTGCAGTTTCATGTCATAAACCTCTGTTAGCAAAGTGTCTTTTTTATACAAACTATGTAGTTGTTCGCAAGCCCTTTCCCCATGGCTGACGTACTTTCACACTTGCATGTACAGTTGCTGCAGTGTAGTATCCTGTTACTCCTGTTACATAATGTTCTTTCCAGCCGCAGGAGCTCTTTACGGCAGCTGGAAGGTCATTGTTATTCACTATGACTTCAGTCAAAATATTTAAATAAAACAAGGCTGATTCCCCTGTATAGGAATCAGTATAACAGGAAAATCGAAGGTGTCTTCACAGAGGTAGTTAGGCGTTCATTGTGCATTGTTTCAAAAGCAGCAACAAATTGCATTGTCACGCTAAGAATTTCAGGTAGCTCGAAACTTGCAGCGCGCACCTCAAGCAGAAAGGACGCATAAAATTAGCATATACAGGACGAGCGCGGAATAGCAACTGCTACAGCTCGACACTTAAAGCGCGCCGCTCAGACAGAAAAAAAAAAGACGCACGAAATGAGCGCACAAGTATACAAAATACAAGTGCACGAACAACTGCCAGAATACTTCCTGCGTCATGTGTCAGCAGCATGTTCTTTTTGTAAACGCGGCCGCGGCAGTGTGCGAAGTGACTTCATTCTCTCCCAAATTAAGAGTCTGATGAGCGCGCGCAGGAGAGACCACGCTCTGTGGAGGCGGCGCTTCGTGGATTCATCGACCTATAGAGCGCGCCCAACGCTATACTCAACGTGAGCCCGTCGCGCCATCTCGCCAATGATAACGAAAACGCGCTAAACGTTTGAAGCTTTGAGGACCACCAAACGGTGTATGGTGTAATATATAGCTTGCCGTTAGCTCTCCCGACAATGTGCGTTCCATGGCGTAGAGGATAGCACCGCGAGCTGCAAATTGAGAGATTTCTAGCTCAATTACGCGTGACAAAATCTTGCCTTCTTGTTTTTTTTCTTTATAATCTGTTAGTATGAATTTTACAACATAATATACGTGATGGAAATACGCCCGTCAGCGGAGCCGTGATGGACCGCAACATAAAACA